ATTGGCGTATGGAGAGGTAGAGTTATTGGAAAAATGAAGCATGCTATTTACGGTAAAACAGAGTAATTTTACAATAACAATTCTCAGCCTATGACATCGATGACTCCCAGTCAGGAAGTCATCATTAAAATAAAGGCTGATAGTTTCGAAATCTGCGGTCTTTCCTTACACCTAGGTAGCACGGAAAGCCGTAAAAATCTTGAACAAAAGCTCATCATTCAAACCGGCAGTCTAAATCCCACAGGGATCAACGAACGCTTTTCATTCCACTAATTTATTCATGTTTTTCTCGTTGCCATGTTCCGACCGATTCCTAGAACACCTTCGCGACTTAGAAATGTTTCCGAAGGACGCATCGAAACCAGTCGCTAGACATTTTAATTTACGTAATCATTCTAAGCAACATATGGCAATCTGCGGTCTTTCCTTGCCCTTAGGTAGCACGGAAAGGCGTAAAAATCTTGAACAAAAGCTCATCGTTCAAACCGGCAGTCTAAATCCCACAGGGATCAACCAACACTCTTCATTCCACCAATTTATTCATGTTTTTCTCGTTGCCATGTTCCCACCAATAACGTAGCTTCATTTTCTGCCTTTAAAAGCACACACAACCCACAATTCCTCTATTCGCTCCGACGAAGGGCTAACGCTCGAAACGTCAGCTTTTGTAATCGTTACGGTGGCCAATTTGCCATTTCAACTTTGTTGATATATCCAAATTATTCCCTACCACAATTCCAATGCAAAAATTAATTGCAGTAAAGAAACACTTTGCTGGGTGAGACAACCCACCCGTTCCTAACTTTCCTTTTGTGCAAAAAATCAAAAAGTTGCCACCCAGATTTTAAAAGATGCTGCCCATATTTCTTGACAGCTTTATGTAAATATTAATTGAAAGCTTTATTTCTCGCTTCTCACAATAATTTCTAACATCGGCCGGGAAAAATAACTTCAAAATTAGCTTTAATGAGTTGCTCGCAAATATGGAACAAAATGCATGGATCATTTGTGTTCAAAGGGTTGATAAACATTTTTTTTTATAAAATCGTTGGCTTTTCTCGTGCCTGATGTGTTCTAAACCTATATTTTCTCACAAATTTCTGAGAAAGGTAAAAATTGTTCAGAGTTGCTTTAACTGCAGAAAGTTACTCCAAATGCCAAAAGTTGCTCAAAAGTTACCGAGTACATTCGAGCCTACCCCCCATCCCTGAAATTTTCGGGTCAAAGGAGGCGTACACACATGTGGTAACATTTCGCTGGTGTGCTCCTCAGGGACGTAGGGTTTCGCTTCAAACCAAAGCTAGTGGTCAGGGTCAAGGCAAACGTCGGAGGTCTCAATCGTCAAGCGTCTGGGATTTGCAGTCATCCCTCGAGGAAGAATTTGGAATCAAAGACAACGTAGTTTACAGGTAATAGAGAAAGAAAATAAGGAGAAAATGATTGGGGGAAACAATGCAAGAATTCTCCTCCTCCTAATAATTAATAAAAGGACGAAGCTTTCAAGATAAACAGATGGGAAGCATATTAATAACTAAATAATACTAACAGTTCTGTCAAGAATTCATCCTCTCGGCCTTCCTTCCTGGTTCTTCCTTAGTTAGATTAATCTCCCCCCTGAAAAAAATATAAGAAATGGTCAGTGTGCCTTCTTATTTTAGATCACAGTTCCAGTATCCAATTAGAGAATACTACGTTACTTTCGCCCGAAGGGTTACTGGCATTTTATAGAAGCTGCTACTTTTTCTGGGATCTCTGAGAGTCGGCGGAGAACCCCAAAAGCCGACATAGTGGCCCAATTTTTTTCAGAGTTGTCCTTTCCCTTTGACTTTAGGACCTTGATTCTTTCCACTGAAATACGTTTTCCATGGGTGACCTGGAATGTTTTCGCGCCCTGACATTTGTAACAGCCCTGCATCCTCATCACACGCGGAAAGTGGAGCTCTGTTGCCGCTTTTTTTTCCTACGACAGGGGGTGAAAACCTAAAGAAATGGCACATAAACGCCCAAATTAGTTATTTCCCTTGGAGAAATTGTATTGCCTTCGTCCTCCTTATTTCTTATTCTCTTTTTTGTTCGTTTTTTTAAGTGGTGTCGTTTTTGCGGGGAAGAAGGCCAAACATGAGGCACGAGAGGGCGATCGGCTAGAAAATGTGAGATTCTGTTAACGATTATTCATTTATAAATGTATTTTATGATATAAATTGAGCGATGGACTTTATCTTGGACAAGGGTATGGAGGAACACCTGAGTACTCGGCACTGTGTGATCGTTCAACATGATAGAAAATCACCTTTAAATGAGAATTTTCATGCCATTTCGGTCTTGATGTGAAAACTATTCTGAACTAGACGATAAAAAATTGTTTACTGAAGCAAACTTTTCAGTTTTGAAGAGTTAGAGATCTGATTTTCTCACAGAACAGCCGAGAAAAATAACCTAAGCTCACATTAAGTAGCAATCTGCACAACACATGCGTTAAAAATTGTCAACTTTTAATGACAGTGCAGAACGTTGCAGCATCTTCTGACTTCCTACTTCCCTCTCGCTTTCCTTTTCCTTTTTTTCTCCTTCCTCTCTTAGTTCTTTTTTGCTCACTTTCTTGCTTTGTTCTGCCCCTTCCTGCCTCTCCATCATTTTCACTTGGTATCTGCATCTTTGTCTCCCTTCTTCTTCTACTTCCCTTTCCTCCCATTAAACTAAATGATATCATAACCAAACTAATGCGCACGTGCTCTCATTGGTCAATCCAGTGTCCACCATTTGCCCATGGGTGTACGCTGCTGACGTGAGCAAATGCAAAGACTAGTTTTCGCACGCTTGTTTTATCTGGTCACGTAAGATTTGTTAGATAAAAGTGAAATCTTTGGCTACAAGGCATCAATGCTACGTTTTAAAACAAGTGGTAAAAGCCGCAGCGTACACTATTGAGTTATGGATGCATTTGAGAGGTATGCTTAGCACTCAAGAAGCTAGCTTTCGTGCTTAGCAACCTCCCACGTGCATCCATGACTCAATAATGTACGCTGTGGTGTTTACCATTTGTGAACTAGAGACAGGCTATTTGCAAAATGACGTAAAACATATTGTCTACCTTATTCCGCGGATTTGATCTCCACCAAAGGGCAGATTTCCTAGTATGCCATCACTTCCTGTTTTCATGAAATTGTTGTAGAAATATGAGCGCGATTGTGGGGCGTAACTCGGAAAAGTGTAATTTATTTTTTCATCAATGTTAGTTTCCAGAGGAAAGTACATATCAAGAAGCAGAAGAAATGGACAAGTTCGAGAAACTTTGGTTACAGTTAGGAGCTGAGTTCGCCTTGCGAGAGAAAGTTCACCACATCGTGTTTGATATCATTTTAAACGCTTCAGAGGCATTGGATCGCGATGAGAGGCAGAAAGTTTGTAGAAAAGTTTCCGACTACGTTCAAGGAGTCATAAACTTCGCACAGGAAAGATTAGCTAATGATCAGTCAGGCGATTTAAAACCCAAAGTGAGAAAGTACGTACTACAGGTGATAGAGAATGCCTCCCTTGTTGTTGACGAGGTGGAAAGATGGCGACTTGTCCAAGAGATTGTAGCCACCGCTATCAACGGGGCCAGAGAGGAAGTGATCTCGTTACCCAAAACTGCTAAAGCGGTAGTTGCAACTGCTATCGAAAGGGCACGTCAGGAGGTTGCGCAGCAAATCTGTCGTGATTTGTTTGAATGCGCTGAGGCCATAGTGGTAGGTACTATGATATCGGCATCTCAAAAGATGCAAGATGCTCAGGAAGTAAATGTGGCGCGTTCTCTAGCTATCGAGGCTGTGAAAGCAGCAAAAGGGTCCATAGAACATTTACACAAGGTGGAACTTGAGCCTATCGTCGATGAGGAACAGTTTCAGTTTTCGACGAGCTTGGCTAAGTGCGCTAAAGAACTCACGACAGCTGCTATTATTTCGGCCACCAAATCATCGGAACAGGTATCACGTAAGGACGACAGCGATTTGATGGCAGCACGATCTCTAGCCTGCGACGCTGTCGCGGCGGCTAAATCTTCGCTTCAAAAGTTGTATGGCGTAAAAATTGAAGTAGAAGATGAGGACCAGGAACATTATGTTACAATTTCTAAATGTCTCGTGAAATCCGCAAAAGATATCGCTCAGGCCGCGGTTAGTATCGCTGAGACATTCTCTGGGCAGTACGATCTGGAAGGTTTGACAGCCAGGAAACGTGCGACGGATTCTATGTATGCAGCAAAAGTATCACTAGAGAAACTTGACATAAATGTTGAGGACAAGGACGATAACGAGCAGGCTTATAAAGACATCGCAAGTGCTGCTTTGGTGTCCGCTGCGCGTTCTTTGCAGAAAGACTTCTTAACACGCGAGACTGATTTAGTGGCGGCTGCACAAACTTTGGCTCACACGGCATTGGAATCTGCAAAAGAATCTCTTGAATGGTTCTACCGTGCGGAAATCGTTCCTGAAGCAAGGATAGAAGGGAAGACTCATAGGCTCCATTTAGAGTTGGGTGAAGTCGCAAGAGACATTGCAGAGGTCGTTGTTGATTCAGCCACACGATCTCTCGAGCAGATAATGGGAAATAATGAATGGAATCTTATATCAACAACTCATGACCTGGTGAGCGATGTAATTGGTTCGGCAAAGGCATCGTTGGAAAGCTTTTATGGAGTCACAATCAAACCAGAAGAAGAAGTTATTTTAAGTTTACAACAAGCCTCAGAGAATTCTCTGGAATATTCCATTTTCTCGACGAGTGCCTCGATGGAAATTCTACAAGGAGACGAAAAATACTTGTGCATCGCTGCACGAAGTCTTGCACGAGACGCTCTGAAATCAGCAAAAGCATCAATACAGCGACTCAATAACATTGCAGATCAAATGGAAGAAAACATAAAACAAACAGCATTTCATATTTCAAAAACTCTCATGGATTCGTCGGGCAACCTTCTGCAAAAACTCGAGAGGGAAGGATTAACTGGAGCCTCTAGAGATCTTGCATGCAGTGCAATTGAGTCGGCTGCAAAATCTTTCTCTAAATTTCCCGAAGACGAGACTTCACTGCAGAAAATTGCTGAGGATGACTCGGGCTTGCTGAACGCAGCAGCAAAGGTATCCACAGTTTCCGTTCGTGCTTCTTTGGGAGAATTCTTTGATCGAGGCTTCATCGGTGACCAGGAGTTAGAGGAAGCTACAGACTACTTAGCGACTCATGCAGTGCTCTCGGCTGAAAATCTACTCGATTCATTACAAGGTGAAATTTCGGCAGGTTCTCTTGACTTGGAAATCTGTAAAGTTGCCAAAGACCTGGCTTTAAATACAGTTGTTTCAGCAGAAAGATCAATTACCAGCCTGGCAGAGGAACACCAAGAACCTTCAGCAAAACGCAGTCTTCAACTTGGAACCTTGTTTTGGAAGGTTACAACCTATGTAGAGCAGCTGATAAACGGTGCTTTGAGAAATCTTGGGGCAGAGTGGTGTTTTGTCCACATGGATGACGATTCAGAAGAATACGAGGAGCTTACGCACGATGAGGCTCGTCTAGCTGACAAGGCATACAATGACCAGAGAGAGATCCTGATGATGAGAGCGTCAAAAATTGTGCAGAACGCCATTGAAATCGCAAAGTCAAGGACTGCCTGTAAGTCATTCTTTCTTGACCAACCTGTTGCAGATGGCAAGCCTCACTCTCGTCGTAAAAGTTCCGTTCATTTTAACGAGACTTCAGTTTTGCATAGTCGTCGGGACAACGACATTCCCCGTGACACAGACTACTTATGCTCGGCAAACAGGCCTCCGACCCCTCGTTTCAGAAAGGATCGTCTCGGTTCTGTTGTCTCACAGGAAGTTGAGGAGCTCGAGAAAGAATTGGCCTTTTCTTCAGGTAGTGATATAACTGAAAAGAAATCATCTAGTACTAGTCTTGTACGGCGACGCCTGTCCGATCCAGGACCGGAGTTTTGCACCGAAGATATCTCGATCCCGAGGACAGAGCGTTTAGTGTCCGACTCAAGCATAGACCACCAAGGTACTACCCTGGACATAAAAGGCTCTTTGTATGATATTTTAAAGAAACGAGAAGAGTCAGCGAGCTGCGAGATCTCTCCTTCCGAGTCATATGTTGTCCTTCCACATTTGAATCTATCTGAGCTTTCCTTGATTGCCGCCCGAGTGGAGGCTTACGAATGTTTATGGAAACAGAAGGCGACAACTCCTTCGGTAACAAGCCTGCCATCTTTATCTCCCAAAAGCTCCTTTGTAGTCAGTGAAGCCGCTGAACATGTCAACTCGGATAAAGAAACAAAAATACTTTCGGCTTCACTATCTTCTCGTCTGCCAGATATAAGTAAGTCTGCCTCCAAAATCTGCAAGCCTTCGTCGAGTTCAAGCTCCCTTGAAGGCCCGTCGGCGTATCGTAAGCAAACATCGTTGCAAAAGCTCAATCTTCCATCTAAAACCTCTCTCAAGGCTTCGAAGGAGTCTGTAAAAGTACAATCGAAATCTTCGACCGGAAAGGCCTTACATTCGTCGCGTACCTCAGCTGAAAAAGTGTCATCACCAGTGTCATCTCGAAGTTCCCTGTCTAAAAAGGAAGGGACTAGGCAAGGTTCAGGAGAAAATGTGACTTTGTTTTCGCCTAAATCGTCTGTGAAAGATGCGTCTCATTCACAGCGAACCTCAGATGCAAAGGTTGTCCATTCTTCTCACAGCTCACTTACGAAAGCCACAGTTTCTCCTCGTACTTCTGTTGAGAAAGCTGTAATTTCAAAGGGAAGATCATCTAAAACTCAAATCAAGACGTCTCCTAAAAGTTCTAAACTTTATGGCTCCATAGAAAAAACGACAACTCCTCCCACTACCTCTTTACAGAGAGGACTTTCGTCTGCCCGACGGTCGATAGAGAAGGTAGCCTTGAATCCAAGTGAGTCAAAACAAAAGAAAGCTTCCTCCACAGGTGCTTTCAGCCAGAAAGTTGTATCTTCACCGACTGCTTCAAAAGAAAGTGTAGTTTCGTCCTCTACGACATCGAAGAGAGGCACTATGTTGTCTGCAAGTGCTTCTACCGGAAACGCCACATTATCCCCTCGTAGATTCAAAGGAAACATCACACGATCACGGCATTCGTCTTCCGAGAATGCATCATTATCCCAAGGTGTCTCCACAGAAGCAACAACAATATCGCCTCATAATTCTCTCGAGGATATGTCACTGTTGTCACGTGGCTCTACCGAGGACACCGTTTCCAGGCGAGCTTCCAAAGGGAAAGATAGTAAACCATCAAGTACGTCATTTGAAAATACAAAGTTGTCTCTTAGATCGTCTAAGAGAGATGCCACACAATCACCAAGTGCTTCCCCTAAGAATACGACGGTGCTGTCGCGTATTTCCAAGGAGAAAATCACGCAATCTTCTCGAAATTCTTCTGAGAGAATTGTATCAAATCAATGCGCTTCTAAAGGGTTAGCTACCCAGTCTTCGAATGCAAAGATTTCACGTTCTCCAAATATATCCAAAGAAAACGCTCAGGTCTCCCTCCTTATTTCTTCAGAAGAGGCCACTTCTTCCTCCGGATCGAACGGAAAGGCAGCCGGAAGCGCATCGTCTTCGCCGAAAGCCCCTGGTGATACCGAGTTAGCATTGTCTATGACTTCCATGACCATAGTCAAAACACATTCGAGTCAATCTGCAAAGGATGTGCAGCCAGAGGAGTCTACAATGAAAACGGAACCCACCGATGGAAAATTGTCTGAAGATTTGGTTCGGTCCCCTGAAAAAGTGAGAGATAAAACCGATCCTGATGGGTTTTCATCCCCTGTCGAAGACATCGCACTCAGATCAGACTTCGTGCAGGTAATGGGTGAAGAACCAATGGAAAGTAAGAATATTGAGATCACCAAGGACTCTACGAAAGATGTTCGTAGCCTAGAGAGACTTATCCAGGACAAGAGATTCACTCCGGAAGGAGCCGAGGCGGGCTCAAGGTCGGCCTCTAGTGTTGACATGACGACCATGAGAAGGTCCACAGATCCAACAGGAGAAAAAAGAGTTCACGCGGATTCCACCGACAAACGTAAGGGAGCAAAATCCATTTTGACGGCGCCTGATTCGACGATAGTTTCGCCAGAATCTTCTATAGAAAAGGCAGCATCGATGGACAGTGAAAGAGAAGTTGTGGCTATGGAAAGCGGAGGTAAAGATGAGAGGGAATTGCAAGGCGTTTTCATTACGTCTGGAGATAAACGCTTTTCGCAGGAAGGAGACAAGAAAGGGCAACTTATTGAAATGACCGATTCCGCAACGGACGGGAAGCAAGTTCAACAGTTCAGTACGAAAAAAACAGCAACAAAAAGCTTCGAAGGCTACCCCTTGTCAAGGAAAGTGAGCGTGTCACGGTCTATCCACGACACTCTTGATGATATCGTTCAGAAAATGTTAGACACAACGGACGAACCAACTAAAGACCTTTCTCATTCTCGTTCCTTATGTCTTGGACCGTGGAAGGAGTTCAGGTGCGAAAGCGAAGGAGGCCTTGGAATGCCAAGGCTCAGCAAAGGGAGGCTTCCCACTGGCAAGGTTTCTAGGACAGTGATGGACACTGTGGACTTCATGCTTCAAAGTGTCTCGTCATATGACAACTTGGGTTCCCGGAAAGGTTCTGGTAGACACTTAGGTGGAGGTAAGTTGAGTAAGGTTTAAAAATTTTATAACAAAGCATCGAATTATAAATTTTACTTTTTTTCCCTTTTTCCTCCACAGGCGTATCAAGAACAATCTCCTCTATGGATAATTTATCCAGAGGTTCTACCTTGGCACAAAACATGTCACGCGTCCATGGAATCAGCCCATCGCCACCAACTAGCCTTCAACCAAAAGTGCCATCTCCGAGAAGATCTCTGTTAATCGCTACTTCGTCCCAGGACTCGATGGGAGTCCGTGCTACCCAATCAGATTCCACTATACTTAGTTCGTCAAGTGATAAAGCCGTCGACCTCAAACCTAAAGTGTCAGGGGCGTGGCTTGATGGTGCTATGGTCGCAAGTGGGGTGATGTCTGATACGGCTAATTCCCCAATGAGACCTTCCTCGAGTCCTGCTCCCTCACAGCATAGGCGAGCTTCGCAAGGAAGTCTTTCGGCGAAAACCTCCTTGGATGGCATTTGCCTCGAGAGGAATAACTCAATCGAGAAAGGGAGTTAAATACAAAATTCGGATATTTTTTTCCTTTAGAATCTTCTGTTGATATAAATATATGCCCAAAAAATCGTCGAATCTTAAGCTTAAATTAAATCTTCATTTGAACACTATTTCTTCTTTTGAAGAATGTATTTATTTTGACCATTCTCTTTCTTTGTCACTTCTTTAAATCTAAACAGAATCAATCAAACAACATATCAGTTCAATAAATCTGTTTGTTTTAAAAAACGTTTTTTTGCTTGTTTTTCAATCAACACTGCGCCGCTAGATTATCTTTACCGAGGTACTTTTAATATTTAAATACTCATCGATGCTTGTAAAAACAAACAAAGAACAGTCTTACCAACCCTAACCATTCTACCACCTATTAATATCATCATCACATCCTCAGTGCTAGCTTTGTTGACCCCTGATCCCTGTAACCGCCGCTCGGTTAGTTGAATTGGTTGGAGCGCCTGACTGTTGTGTTATAAAATCAAGAAATGGATAGACATTCTAGTCTTCTCGGATAAGGACGAATGAACTGTAGGTCCAGTCTCCCGCATCTATTAATTAGTTAATTTAATTAGGCAGGGGGCTTTAAAGAACCCACTCACGAGATTACTGTGATGTGGTCTGGCCTGTTTACTGGGAATTGGGGGGYAGGGGGCATCTTCAAATAAGTTTCCTTCGATTGATATTGTAAACTGCTTGATGCATTCCGGCTAAAGTCCACCGAAAGTGGGAAAATGCGCCTTGGAATATTGTATAGAAAACCGGCGCAATAGAAGTAATAAATATTATTTTATCGCAGTATACACTTTTGAATGCTTCAGATTACAAATAAAATTGATAAAGGGCGCCAAAGGCGTAGCCTATTCAATTGTCACTACTACATAGATAAAGCAAAACTTTAAAAAATGTATGCTCCTAGACCCTAAAAGGAAATAAATGTTCCATCAAGCTATTAAAACTATGCTTGAACCTAGCGTCGTTAAGGAACTTAGCCCGATAGGACCTTAAAAGTCCAGAAACAAATAAACCTAGGAGTTCTAAAATGGTATATCTATAGACCCTAAAGTGGAGATAAATGTTTGAAACCTATACTTTAAACTAACATCGTTGGAAGAACTTAGTCGGATAGGACCTTGAAAGTGATGGCAATATTGAGGGAGCTAGAGACTACAGCTTTTGCATGTTCCTTAGCACTGAGTGACATCGGCCACTTCCAACCAGTTGGCGCATGCTTTCCTTACATACATACATACAAACATACATACATACATACATATATACATACATATACTTTATTTAACCTCGAATTTAGAGTAGCTAAAGATAAGCTAGTATCTTCGAGTTACAAGTATAATTCTAAATACTACTAAAATGTAAAATAAAATTCTAAAATTTAACTACGTGAAAAGAGTCATACTGTAGAATCTTGCGCTTGAAATCAGGAAAGTCAGACGTTCTAAAACAATCAGGAAGAGAGTTCCATAGTTTTGAAGCCATATGTGAAAAGGAGTGAAGACCATAAATAGTAGTTTTTGTAGGCGGTAGAGTGGACAAAATATAATTTCCGCGTAGACTATAAGATACAGACCGGAAACTAAAGATATTCCTTAGATAGCCTGGATAGCAGGTAAAAAACAAGCTCTTGTACAATACAATTAAGAAAGTCTGAAAGCGCCTTTTATACAGAC